AATTATCATGATCATGAGAAATTTCAATAACAAAACATATCTACACTAATAAAATATAAAAATGCTAATTGACCATACCTTTGCTACACCCACAGCCAATCAGAGCATGCAAATTAACCCAACAAATATGGAGGTTAATTTGCATATGTTGAGGGAAGGAGGATGAAGACTGAAGACAGCATAGAAGAAAGAGGGAGGAAAAATGGAAAGCAAAATGGCTGCCAGAGGGAAAGCAAAGGTGGGGCGGGCGGGCCGTGGCAGCCGCTTGCAGGAATCTTCCTGCAACGGGTCCCTAGTCAAAAAATAAAGACTGAAATCATTAAAATTTCATGGAAAACAGAAAGGATTAACCAAAGACTAATGACCAGTACAGTACAGTGTTATGCATTATTTAAACTTTTATAACCAAAGAAACTGTAGTGAAACATTTTTAATAAAGTTTCATATATATATATATATGAAGTTTCATATATATATGAAACTTTAGTATATAAATATATATGTGCTAATTAGTGTGTGTGTATATATATATATATATATATATATATACTAATCTAAGAATTTATTGTGCTAAATTAATAAGAAACTGAAAATGTACCAAGATGAACAAATGCCATTCCATATATTTTATCATCTTAATAATTTGGAAGTAAAGTAGAGTAAGAGTAAAAATCCTATTAAAATAATGGCAGGAGAAAATTTTTAATAGAAATACAGTTATGTAATAGTGATACTAATAGACTTAAACATCATAAAAAAGTCTATTTTATCTATTGCAACTATCTAAATTTCCATTTAAGAGATATATTGTTTTCAAGGAAATAAAGTAAGATTAAGACGTTTTTTCTCTATTTAAAAATTCTTTACCTAATACATTTTCACAGGGACTGGCAGGAAGAAGGAATTCTTAAGTATTGCTTTATATTCAAATATATTAATTATCATATAATCACAGAATTTCAGAGCTAAACTGTTACAGTCTGTACATTTTATAGATGAAGAACTGAAGAACCAAAGAAATACTTAGTGGTTTATTTCAATCAAAGATCACTTCTAACCCACTGGGATGTCTCTGAGAAGAACATATAAGTAGCAAAGCTCATGTTATTGTTTCATGAAAAATGGGTGCTTGCATTTTGGACACTTGGCAAGGAAACAAGTGGGAATTTAAAGTCACTAAAAAAATTATTTAAATATAGCATAAGTTAGAATATGAATCTGTATATGCAACAAGAAGAATAAAATAGCTATGAATTTAAAAGATATTTGTTTACATTGGTAAAATATAAAATATAAAACCAGTCAAATCTGAAAGGCTAGGGGAAAAAAAACACATAAGAATACATTTTCAGCCCAAACCGGTTTGGCTCAGTGGTAGAACGTCGGTCTGCAGACTGAAAGGTCCCAGGTTTGATTCTGGTCAGGGGCATGTATGTTGGTTGCAGGCACATCCCCGGTAGTGGGTGTACAAGAGGCAGCTGGTCGATGTTTCTCTCTCATTGACGTTTCTTGCTCTCTAGCTCTCTCCCTTCCTCTCTGTAAAAAATCAATAAAATATATTTGAAGAAAAAAAAAGAATGCATTTTCATTTCCTTACTGAACATTTCTAAGCCCTATTGAGCCAAACACTATATTAGACACTGGGTAAATAAGATAAAAAAAGAAAGGAAAAGACTAATAACCTTAAAGAAGCCCATAGTTTTTATAAGATGAAAACATAACAATAGGTACTCAGTAAGGTGGTAACTACGTTATCTAGTACAAAATTTGTGGACTCGGGTGGGGACATACCTCAGTCCAGGAGCCTCGTGAGTATAAGCCATGATATTTTAATTGACTTTTAATATCATGGCCATGTATTATTATATGAATGCTACTTGGAGAATATATAATTTTCTATAATATTACCTCTTTTATTTCGAATATATTAAAAGAGAGGGAGAGAAGAACTGTAAGAAATAAGGTAACAAAAATTCTCAAAAAACTATTAAAACCAAAGGTATGTTAAAAATTATATATATCATGATCAAATAGCATTTATCCCAGAAAGCAAGAATGGATCAACATAAGGAAATTATGTAACTTACTACATGAATGTCATAAAAAAGAAAAAAATGGCATGATACTCTCAACAGAAAAGCATATAGATAACAGGTAACAGAAAAGGCATTTGCTAACTCCCAAAATCTACTTCTGATTGAAAAATAAAAAATAAACCTTTGTAAAAACAAAAATTTCTTTTTAAAAAATATATATATTTTATTGATTTTTTACAGAAAGTAAGGGAGAGGGATAGAGAGTTAGAAACATCGATGAGAGAGAAATATCGACCAGCTGCCTCCTGCACACCCCCCCACAGGATGTGCCTGCAACCAATGTACATGCCCTTGACCGGAATCAAACCTGGGACCCTTCAGTCCGCAGACCGACGCTCTATCCACTGAGCCAAACCGGTTTCGGCAAAACAAAAATTTCTTAACATGATAAAAGATATCTAACAGAAATCTACCAAAAACATACTTAATGGAGAAAATTTAGCCACATTCCCTTTGAGATTGAAAATAAATGATAAATGTTTTCCTTTCCTCCATCCAATGAGAGTCATTGTTTAAACCAGTAATAGAGGTCCTGGCCATTATATAAAATTAGACGATTATTAGACCTAACAGTGTTCATCAAGGTTGTGAACCAATAAAATAATCAACAGTATGACAGCACACTAGAAGTAGCAAATTTTTTTAAAGTTACTGTTTACTATAAAAATGAAAAATATTAAATATTTAGAAATTGGATTAACAACAATTAAAAATTTAAACTCAATTATGGAGGAGAAAAAGACCTGGAAAGAGCTACCCCATATTCATAAGATAATTTAACACTGTAAAAACATCTATTTTCACCAAATAAATCCAAATTCAAATCTATTCCAAATAAATGTCCAACAGAATTTTTGGATAATATGAAAAACTGATTCTAAACCTTATATGTTAAACCAAATATCCATGAATATTTAAGAAAATCCTGGCAAAGAGCAGAGTCTTGCGTTATCAGATATCACTTACAAAATCATTGTAATAATAAGTGTGGGTGATAGAATGGGAATAGACTAATAAATCAACTGACTATACGAGACATCACAGAGACTCACCTGTCAGGCCACTTCTCCTACATACCACCAAATCTCAATTATGCATGGGTCTGAACCATGAGTTAAACAGAAAGAAAATTATTGTAGTTACTGTTATATTTAGACTTTAAATCTTTCCAATCGAGATTAGGCCTAGAAAATACTGAAACTTAAAAGATCTAACTTCTATATTTCCTAAGATAGCATTTATTACAATTTCTGTCCCCAGTGTCTACCTCTTCTCCATCTCTTCCTCATTAGACGACAGATTTCCCCCCTCTATCTGTTGTGGCAAGGGCAGCTGTTAGTGATTGCAAATATCACATGACCTCACTTATATGTGGATTCTAATGAACAAAATAAACAGACAAACAAAATGGGTCCAGAGGAATGGATTCATGGAACAGATTGACAGATTTCGGGGCGGGGTTGGGGGAAGGGCTAACAATTAACCAAAAACATGTGCATAAATGCATAGCCCATGGACACAGACAATAGTGCAGTGAAGACTTGGGGTGGGATAGGGACTGGGTAGAGGGAGCCAAACGGGGAAAGAATAGGGAACATTTGTAATATTGTCAACAATAAATAAAATTTAAAAATGTTAAATGTAACATATGCTGAGGGCTAGCACATAAAATACAAACATTTCCTATAAAATATTTTCCGTATAAGACGTATAAGATGACTTTTGAACCGAAAAAAAGCCTGCTCAGATTGGCCAGAGTCAGAGAGGCGGTCTATTAAAAAAAGAACTGGTGTTGCCTCGGAAGTGAGGGGTAGTCTTATACAGCGAATTATAAGCATAAACCTATGTTTAACTGTAAAATTAGGGGGTCGTCTTATATGCCAGAAAATACAGTAGTGGTTCTCACACCTGAACATGCCTTAGTCACCTGGAGAACTTGTTAAAGCACAAAGTGCTGGATTGCATTCCCAGAGTTTCTAATCAGTACATGTGGGGTGAGTGACATTGCTAACAACTTTCTGTGGAGTGCAAATGCTCCTGACCACCGGGCACATCTGAGAGGCACTACCCTATAGAGCACAGGTTCTCAGGTAAAGGCAATGTTGTTCTCCAGGGGAAACTGTACAGTGAATGGATTGTTTTTGGTTGTCACAACCTAGAGGGATGGAAAGGAGAGGTAATACCGGCATCAAGTAAGAACAAACCAAGAACATGCTGATAAATATCCTATCATGCACAGGACAGCTCCCCACAGCAAAGAATTATCTTATCAAAAACATCAATAGTTGAGAGAGAAACTCTGCCACGGTGTAAAACAAAACTTACTCCAAATGTCTGATTTGACTACTAAGTTAGTAAGTCCTTTAATGAGTTTTAGAAATGTGACATTGGAATAAATATTCAAAGAATTATATTTTTCTTCAAGTAGAGATAACTTTGAATTTTATTCCTCTATAGCAAGATTAAGTTTTAGAAATATTAACACTTAAGTAAGAAATAAACATTTATATAATATTATTGGTAGATATATAGTAAAGAAACAAATTAATATTCACTTTGTAAGATTATTATATTACAGGCATTCTTAAAAAATAATAAGCTATGTTTATTTCTTATACTGAGTGAAAAAGCAAAAAACTGTTCATTTCACTATTTTATATATCCAATATAAATGAAATCTTTTGTAACAGTTTAAGAAAAAAACAGTGATTGCAGGAATAATTAATACTAAGTAAATGTGTCTGAGAAAAATGTACTTTATAGATACATACATATATATATGTGTACATACATATATACCACACCACCACCACTACCCACACCACACACACACATATATACACACAAACACACACACACACACACACACACACACACACACACACACACACACAATAAACTTACTCCAGTAGGCTGAAAAATAAGTCCATCCATTTCATGGCTAACTTCTTTTGCAAAATTTCCTTCAAGTAGCTATAAAATAAATATAAGTATTTTCAGAAATACAATAATCAATACAATAATCACTTTAAAGGTATTTCAAATTTCTGTAAACTTTATAAAATCTTTTCTTAAGTTTTAAGAACTGAAATGCAAAATGGGAGAGAGGGGTGGTCCAGAGGAATAGAGGTTAATACATTATAAGGTGTTTTTTTAAATGTGAAGATTTCCATTCTATGGCAGGCTAGATACTTTGGATAACAGTCCTAACTACAACAAGCAAAATGATGGATAAAATAATTTGAAACATTTTTAAATGCACTGCTGAGTCAAGATGAAAGGAATGTTAATATGGAAAATTCAATGTGGATTTAAAGTATTGGTCTCACTGACAAAGGAGAAACTGTGGGAAATAATAAAGGGAATAAAAAATAAACATATAGAACAAAGACAGCAGAGAAACTTGCTTGGGGATGGAGTGGGTGGGAGAATCCCCTGAGAATCTGTAACCACAGCTAACTCAGACATAGGAAACACAATCTGAAAATACATCACTTTCTGCTTGAGCAGAAAAAATTTTAGCCTTATATCGATAGTTTTGTCTTACTGTTTCTTTTCTTTTTTGGTCTTTTCTGTATTTTTTCAAGCAAAAAACTGCAGTACAGGGGATACATGGTACAAAACACAAATGGTAGTTTTTCAAAGCCTTATCTGCTAAAGAGCAGAGTTATAAGATCCAATGTTCTCTAATTAGTTCTGAGCAAGTAGTTTTAAATTGTTTCTTTTCAAGGATTTTTATTATTTTGAAGAACTAAACATGTGAATCATGGCCAGAAGTCCTAATATTGATTTCTACATTTAAATGTATGTTTAAAATGTGTTAAAGAGAACAAAATATACTTTCACTGAGCCAGAATAGGACAGTTCTGGAATTCATATATATGTCTCTAAATTTTAAGATTAAGTTGTGGGTTATCCAATCACAATCTTTTAACGTAATCACATCCTCTTAAAACCATTACATTCACTTAGAGGAAGATTCACATTCCAAAAGCAACAACCGAAATTTCAAGTGTATTTCACATGCAACAAGATTAGTGTTTCTCCTCCCCAACTGTGACCTTTACCTTCTCTATTTTGAATTCCTTATAAAATCTGTAATTTCTCTAAACAGCAGGCAATGAAAATTAGAGCGATCCTAGTTCCTAACTGCATAAAGATCAATTAGAGTTTGACTATCTACATTCCCTTAAAACTGTAATGCTCCTTAGTCAAATTCATACGGACAGAAATTAGAGAGGCTAGGGTGAGGGTGAATAAGGAGTTAGTATTTAATGGGTACAGAGTTTCAGTTTAGAAAGGTGAAAAGCGACCTGGAGGTGGATGACAGTAATGGTTACACGACAATATAAATACATTTATTGCCACTGAAATGTATGTTTAAACTTTGTTACAATGGTCCATTATATGCTATGTATATTTTGCCTTAACTTAAAAAATATGTATACAACTGTTGATATTTCCTGTTTTGTTTTGTTCTTTCCTCTCAGTATAACACTATGAAAGTGGAGAGCCTGCCAACTGGATCCCTTAGAACCATATTGTCAAGAGTTTAGCCAAATTGGCAAAAATTTCAGGACTGATCTGAGATTCATGGCTGATCATTATAAGGTGATTTTAAGATCTCCAATTTACTCAAAGGTTTAAATGACCTAAGCCTTCTGAGGAGGAACTCTGCCTAACTAAAAATTCAATATGGATTCAAAGCACTGATTTCTTATAAATTTCTTTCAAGAGGTGAAAATAAACTCCAACCATCAAAATGTCAAAAAAAAAAAAAAAAAATATATATATATATATATATATATATATATATCAGCTCACAGAGAATTAAAAAAAATGGAAGAAAAACATAAGCAATGGATTATCAGCAGACTGAATATAACAAAAGGAAAAGAAATCAATGAACTTGAAGAAAAAAATGTGTAGCACTTTTTCCAACTGAAATTTTAAAAAAAAGGAAAAAGATACAACACTGAAAATCAAAAAGCAGGCATAAAGATGTCTTGAAAAAAACTTACAGAACACAGACAGAAAACCAGTGAAAATATGAACACTGAAACAATCAAGCCTAATTGAAAAGAATAACACATTCCATCCAACAATAGGAGAAACACTTTTTCCCACAAGTGCATACAACACATTTATAGGTAGGTCAAAGTAATACAAAGAATGTCTTCTGACCACAATGAATTAAATTATACATCAGTAAGAGAAAGATATCTGGAAAGCTCTTCAATGTTTGGAAACTTAATAACAAATTTCTAAATAACCCACAAATAAAAGAAAAAAAATCAAAAGAAAAAATTTTAAGTATTTCCCTCCCTCTCTCCCTCCCCTTTGAAAAAAAATCAAAAGAAAAATTTTTAAGTATTTCCCTTCCTCTCTCCCTCCCCTGCCTCCCTCCCTCCCTGAAATCATTAAAAACAAATAAATGTTGAGTCTTTAAAAAAAAAGAAAGCAGTATGTCTAACTTAAAACTTTAAAGTAGGAATATAGCCAGGGATAAGTTGTCAATGTCAAAGTGACTAAATCAGAATAAAGTCATTGAATAAAAAATTTCTCAGAAATGGAGAAGCCAGGGTTATAAGTAGGTCAAACCAAACATAGGGAAGTTGTATTAAACAAGGATGATGGGCAACCCTTGAGAAAAAGAGTTTTAAGTCAGGCACAATCTCAAAGGAAGAATAGTTATCAAGGAGCAAAAAAGAGTTAGTTAAAGATTTCGTTTAAATACCATGGCTTGAAAGGTCAGGTTTTATTTCAATTATTTAAATACCAAATAATGTTAAAACTCACTTTGATATTTTTTTGTCTCTAATATTATATTCCAAAATAGACTGTCCAATACTTTTAAGCTAATCTGTGCTTTGCCTCTACTATATTTTAAGTAAAAATAATTTATGAATTGTAAGGTTTTCTTAATTTGTTCTGGTAACATCGCAATAAAAATAAAATCACGTTCAGTATTATTAGGGTAGATACTTTCTGACTGCGTACTTATGCTAGAAACCCAGATAGCTGTTGGATACTGAGGACCCAATGATAACATAAGCCTACATATGCCTAAATAATACCTTAATTTTAACTTAACAGTAAAGACATTAAATGCAAAGGTGTAATTAGCCATTTCTCCCTCTTAATTTTTCTTCAGTAACACAGTTCTATTTAAATTAACCAAAATGTTTTTTAAACACATAAAAACAACAACAAATACCTTACTTTAAAAATATTTAACTATAAAACTTAGGAGAAGCTTTTAAAGTGGAATGTGGGTGAATTATTCTAAAAATACTAAGGTATTATTTAGAATTATAATTTTCTTGATTAGTTTTTCCTAAATAAAATTAAAAGATAGTTAAATATAATTTAAGATAGTAAACATAATATATCAAATCATCTATACTAATAAAAGGGTAATATGCTAATTAGACTGGGTCGACCAGACATCTTCCAGATATCCGAATTCCTTCCGGACATTTAGGGGCTGACCAGGCCATCAGGGGAGGGCATTTAGGGGGCAATCAGGCCAGCAAGCAGAGGCAGTGAGGGGCAATCAGGCAGGTATGTAGAGTGGTTAGGGGTGATCAGGCAGGCCATCAGGGGGGCAATTAGGGAGCAACCAGGCTGGCAGGGGGGCAGTCAGGAGACAACCAAGCTGGTAGGGGAGGGCATTTAGAGGGTGATCGGGCAGGCAAGCAGAGGTAGCTAGGAGCGATCAGGCAGGCAGGTGGAGTGGTTAGGGGCAATCAGGCAGGCTGGCAGAGAAGCAGGGGGCAACCAGGCCAGCAGGGAACCAGTTAGGGGACAACCAGGCTGGCAGGGGACCAGTTACAGGCCAGCAAGCAGAGGCAGTTAGGGGCGATGAGGCAGGAGGCAAGCAGTTAGGAGCCAGTGGTACCAGATTGCGAGAGGGATGTCCAACTGCCGGTTTAGGCCCCATCCTGCAGGGGTCTCAAATTGAAGAGGATGCAGGCCAGCCTGAGGAACCCCCTCCCAATGCATGAATTTTGTGCACTGGGCCACTAGTCAATAACAAAAGTGTAATATGCTAATTAGACCAGATGTCCTTCCAGAGGAAGTCAAGGCTGAGAGGGAAGCCCAGGTCTTGAGTGCCTGCCAGCGGCCGGAGGGAAGCCCGAGTCCCAGGTGCCAGAGAGAAGCCGGTGCCAGCAGCTGGGGTAAGGAAGGCCTACTCTTGCACAAATGTCATGCATCAGGACTCTAGTTATTAATAAAGCAGGAGCCGAAACCGGTTTGGCTCAGTGGTAGAGCGTCGGTCTGCGGACTGAAAGGTCCCAGGTTCGATTCCGGTCAAGGGTGTACCTTGGTTGCGGGCACATCCCCGGTAGGGGGTGTACAGGAGGCAGCTGGTTGATGTTTCTCTCTAGTCGATGTTTCTAGCTCTCTATCTCTCTACCTTTCTCTCTGTTAAAAATCAATAAAATATATTAAATAAATAATAATAAAATAAATAAAGCATGATATTATTTTATAAAGCTTTACTTATAAAATTTACTAATCTATGAATACAATACCATCACTTGAATACCATCAAATAGCCTACAGAAGGCATGTAACTTTCCATTAGGTTATACCAGGTGGTTTGACTAGAATTGACACTTTATATGTCTATAAATCAGACAGTAATTGGAAACCAAATTATTATAAGTGCATAAGTAGAGAAAGATAATGCAAAAGGGCTTGAAATTAGAAACATTAGAAACAAAACAGAAACTATAAAGTTACAAAGCATAGAAAGGAACCTTTTAGAAATAACCAAAAATGATAGCTTAAATAAAGAAGAAAATGAATCTGCAATATAATTGGGGATGGGTACTAGCAACATCAATTCATTACAGTACAGAAAAGTATTTTTCTTAAATGAGGAAAGAATATCTCTACCTTTCTGTTATGAACTAGTCTATTCACCTCAGATGTTTTCTGAGCAAATATTTACACATAGCTTCAAC